CCTCAGCTTTCAACAAAAGATTTACAAGTAATAATGTATTTACAGCTCCTACGCAAAAGAAACTGCCCTCTTCTCATTCCCTTCCAAATATGCTTATACTCAGGATCTTCAATAAGAAATTAAGCATGGCTTAAAAGGTTGCACGAAGATGGGAATTTCCACTACTCCACCCCAGAACAGTCAAGGCCATAATTAAATTCTGCCCCCCTTCTTTTAGGAGGGCTTCTCAATCCATGACAGGACAAGGCATGAAATTCCCATTTCCTGCCAATGAGACCAATTGTGCTCTGTCTCAGAAGACAGCCTAAAAGGAAGAGAAGAGAGGAATTTAATTCCAGCCATGGTAGAACAGGGGCTACATGCCACAAGATCAGAGGTATTCTTAACACATGGGCATTTCACATGGGACCAGGAGGATCAATGAATGTTTTTCATTACATTTACCAGAATTAACTTTCATTTATTTATTACAAGGTATTTTGTTACTTATTAAATATAATACTTAATCAATTTAAAATAACATGCTAAATTTGTTATATAGCAGTTCAAATTATTGAGATTAAAGTATGTAGTCAACATCACACAATTCTCACATCAGAATCTGACAGGAACTCACAAGTGGTTGTACTTATGAAGGTATAAGGCTGTATATTTTTTAAGATCCCAGCTTGGTCATACCTTCTCAGGCATTATGCCAAGTCTGAGAACTGGGACTTTGCAATAATGACAAATGTTCTTAAACAATCCAGCAATATAGAAATGAGTTCCAAAGAAAAATGGCACCTTAATATTAAACTTAAAAAAAAAAAAACAATTTTAGTATGCCCACATCACCTTTAAAAATTATTGCTTCAAAGTTTCATTTCATTACCAATTATTACATGAAAACTATATTTTCATTAGAATTAATGTTATGTTAGTCAACCCTGTATAAGACTACTGCGGGAATTACACATAAAAATAAAACATAATGTGAGAACTGGCACTTAGGTCTCCTGGGCCAAGGCCTCCAAGCCAAACTTGATTGTGATATAGATTTCAATGTAACAAACCATGCCTACAAATATTATACCAAGGTCAAGAGGATAGGGCATTATGTAGGCCATATAATATCAAGATATGGAAACAGATGGTTAGCAGGTTCAGTTGACCTTCAAGTACCCTTCAGCTGGATAGCTTGATTCCCTATAATCAGCCCAAAGTGAATGAAATTAATGCACCTATGATCTAAAATTGTATATCAACACAGACAAATTAGTTTATTGTGGTTAAAATAAAGGAGTATAATTCCAAGATCATATATAAGGGATAGTTCATCTTGTTTGCATACTAGGAAGCCTCTAGACTGTAAACTAGAGCATCTTGAATGAAAATTCCATGAAAAAAAGATGAGCTATGTTCCTGTCTCAGATGTCAAGATTGTTTCACTGGTAGGTCCATATTTGTTGCTAGTTTCATTAAGTCTGATGGTTTCAAAGGCATCCTTTTCCTTTTACAGATGCAAATTGTAGTAGTGAATAATACAGAACTTCAAAAGAAGCAAACAACTTCATGAATGAATAAATGATGAATGCAGAATTGACAAATGAATAAATGACGAATGCACAATTACCATTTAATCTTTTAGGCTAACAGCAGAAAGCATGATCTCTGCTGACAATAAGAAGAAAAACAAATAATTGTAAAGAAATGGTATGAAGGTGAAACTAATCTAAGTATCTCACTTTCCCCCTTTTTTAGTGGGCCTCCTTTCCTGAAAGGAAAAAGACCACTTATGGTCCTGTCCTGCCCATCCACGTGTCACATTTTGGTTGTCCGATGATAACAAAAAAAGGATTGGCCTGATCAATGCAAAAATTGGCAAGTGAGTAGATATGAACAAGATCCAGGCTGAGTTCATTTTGTGGGGAATTTGCACCAAAATTGGCATATTTATTGCAAATTTTGAATTCTAAATTTTGGTCATGGAAGGGAAGGCATGAGTACCTGTGAGCCCTTCAGGTTCTGGGCCACAATGCATGTACGACAGGCTTTGGGCACAGCATCGTGTCAGCAACCAGAGCTGTCAGTTCCCTACCAACCTTTGTGGTGGATGGATCCAACCACACACAGCCCTCCATCCTCTCATCATTGTTTCATGGGCACCAATTGTCCATATTTCCCAAATATAAATGAGGTTAGGTTTTTAATGGTTGAAGACCAGAAAGAGATGGCATTTTGTTCAATTAGGTGTCAAAATGAGGGTTTCCTTATCTGAAAGGAGGCCCATTACTGGACTGGGCTTGCCCAGCTTGTCTTTTAGGTGTTTCTATTGCCAACAAGAAACATTTCTTATTTTTTAAGCTTTCTGCCTCTCCTACCAGGATCATCTAGACTACTACTAATATGAAGGACACTGGAGAAGACCACAACTGGAAAGAAAATGTTAAATAAAAAAGGAAAATAAGGTGTCCACTGCAACTAGAAATATCCAGTCCACTTCACACATAGAATCTATTAAGAGTCACAATGACTATTCAATAAACACAACAAAATATTCCAGGAATGGATTGAGTGATCTTTTAATATAAAAGAGCACCAGAACTCCTCATTAAAAGCAAATTCAGCTGATGCACTAATTGCCGAGTTAGAATAATAAATTTAAATAAATAATGGCTAGTGTTCAGCTGATATGCATAAGCTTAATCTTGAAGTGAATTAATTTAGGGAATATATGTACGATGTCATATGTATATATGAATAATGGTGACTCTACCCAAGATCATGAGGATTCTAAGTCTGCCTGAATGACCACAGCAATTAAGAATGAGTTATTGACCGTTCAATAAGGGCATTTACATAATAAATCCTATCTTATCTACAGAACATGACCATATTGACCAAATCCAGTCAAATCCAGGAACTAACATTGGGGTGAAAAGAAGGAATATGAATCATCCACAGAGAGACCTTTACGAAACTTGAAACATTAGGAGCATCCCAGTCATACTGATTCAGTTACTGCAACCCTCCCTTTGTTAGGGGAGGAAGCCACTAGTTCCATGTGTCTTCAATTCAGATACTAGTCTCCTATATGGAACTGTCAAATGTCTCAGTAAAATCAAGGATTACATCAGCACCCTGGGCTTTCTACCCTCCCACAGCACTAGAGTCTAGCTGTGCATGAGAACCTTGACAAAAACCATATCTTTCATTGAGTAAAAAGCAGAGCTGTTAAGGTGATCACTGAACAAGCTTTAAGAGCAAGGCAGGTAAGAAAGTTGTTACAGGGAAAGAACACTGCTTCAGCACGTGAAGAGAGATAATCAGGACCAAGATGTTTCCAAGCATTTAGTCCCTCTATAAACTTCTTCACTCCTTGAAAAATGAGAAGCCTCAGCATGAGAGAGTATGAGCAGTACAACCCCCTGCTTCCTCATTTTTAACCCATCTGCTTACCTAGCCATCATTGGTCCGAAGGACTTGTGTCAACTTGTCTATTGGTAAGATTTATGGCTAACATGGCTGCACTTAGTTGGCATTTGTGAGTAATTATTAGTATGTAAGTGTCACCAGAGAAATTTCATTAAATTTAATATTTTACTGGTAGTTACACCAAAGATAATTGGTACATGGACGGGTTAAGTGTGTAATTAGAGGTGATCTGGTTGCTAAAAGTCTGTGCTACTTTTTTGAGAACCCCACTGGTACTTAAGAGTTAGACAGATGCTGGGAATTGTGAGAGATGTCACATATCTCCAAAAAGGTTTGGAACTTCCTCAAGTCTGCATATTAAAACTGACTTAGTTGCCACATTACATGAGGGTTCACGTTAACTCGCTATAGCAAGTCCCCGACTCATATTTGTGAAATATCTAAGTCTGTGGGACTCATTGACAACCTCCTGAACATGTTCCCACTGAGATGAAGCTAGGTGCTGGTATTCAAGATTTAAAAAAGCTAGTGTGAACCATGGTACATTAAGACATAAGAATTAGGGTGCACTTTTTTGTGATCATGATAGTAACTACAGTGACATTAAGAGTGATAGCTTCTTGCAACTTGTACCCTGTCTTAACAAAAACCTTTCTAAGCATGATCAGATGCCAAAGATCAAATTAAACAGCAGCTAGCCTTCCTACTTCTCTAGGTAATAAGCTTACCCAAGTAAATTGAACTTCACATACCTGTCAAGAGAGTCAAAACATCATACCATGTGCAATATGCCCAGTGCCTATATCTCTTAGAAGTACAAAAAGAACATTTGATTAAATAAACTTACTCTAGACTGCCTTAGCTGAATAAATGCAAAGATCAAATTTTCTGGGCAGCACATGAGATTCATGCATTAAAAAAAGGATTTGCATTATAAGGATCAACATCAGTACTAAATCGCCCAATCTTTGGTCTACACCTAGGCTATTTTGTGCAGGCAAATTGGACTTAGGCCTATTCCATCACGAGCATACTTGGGATGCCTGTACCCTTATTATACCCTTATTTATTCATGACGTTTCAGTAATCCTAATGGGGACCAAGGGCTACGAATAAGATATGCAAGGCGTAATATATTGATCAGAATGCCTGACTGCACTACGCCTAAGCTCCTGTTAGCGTTTGAGTCTCCAGGGCCGAAGCTTATCACAGGCACCAGGGTGCTCCAACTTTAACATAAAAATACCTCTAGTTAACGTTAATGAAGCCGATACCGCAGCCGAGGCCTCCATAGTCGGCAAACTAGCATGCACATAGGTGCTGAAAGCCTCCACCGGCACGAGAAGACACTCTTAGTCTGGCCCTTCTCCCAAACGAAATCCGACCAGAGGTCAAAGAGAAGTCAAAGGGGAAGGAAGCAATCGAAACGGCGGGAAGAAAGGCCTGTGCGCACATGAAACGCCATATTGAATGCCCGGTCACACAGGCCTCCTACCCCTCCCGTCACCCTCAGAGCCCAGAGGCCCCACGCGAAGCCTCGCCCTCTCTCGCATTTATGCATTCAGCCCCGATCTCAGCGTTCCTAACGGCCCTGCCCAGAACAGACAGTTCCTCCTCGCCCTCCAAGATGCCAGCATCACCCGCTCCCTCCTCCCCGCCCTTCAATCGCCCCAGCTCCATCAACCGAGCCGCAAGTTCGCCCAACCGCACCGAAACCCCGAAATCTCATCTCGCCCCTCCCCACTAAATCCCCCCTCGACCCCCGACGAACGTCACGAAACCCCCTGGCACCACCCAACGACCCTGGAAATCCGAAAGGCAGCGACCTTGAGAGCGTGCACACACTCGCACTCCCACTCGAGCACTGGAACTAAACAGATCTCTCGCTTCCTGCCGGTCCCTTTCTTCTCCCCCATCCCGTGCCAAAAAGAAAAGCCATGGAGGAAGTAGAAAAAGAAGACATCCCGTGCCTGCAGAAAGCCCTCATCGACCGCGAATTCCCTGCCCTCAAAGGTGAGCCCATCGATCAATTACCGAGTCGGAAAACCCGTTGAGGCACCCTTCGCGAGCACTCGATCGCCCCTAGGCCTGACGTATCTGGACCACGCCGGGGCGACCCTCTACAGCCGGTCTCAGCTCTCGCTCGTCGTGGAGCAATTAAACGCCGAGGTGTTCGGGAATCCGCACAGCAGGAATCCCAGCTCCAGGCTCGCGACGGATCACGTCGATCAAGTCCGTCACAAGTGGGAAATCCTTTCGTTTATTTCGTATTTTTCATCGAGTGGGTTTTCGTTTCCGTCGGCTCGTTCTCGTGCATGGAGCTAACGAAGCGCGACCATCTCGTCGCGCAAGGACGGATCCCGAGTCGATTACAGTCCGTCACAGCGTATGTTATCCTGATGGATGTCGCAGGGTTCTGGCCCATTTCCGCACGAGCGCCGAGGAATACTCCGTCGTCTTCACGTCGGGCGCCACGGGAGCGTGCAAACTGCTCGCCGAGTCGTTCAACTGGGAGAGCGATGGGACGTTTGCCTACCTGGAAGAGAATCACACGTCGGTGTTCGGGATGAGGGAGATCGCACGGGCGAGGAACGCGCGCTTGGCAGCACTGTCTTACGAGGAGGTTCGTCTGGCAACACTGTCGCACGATGTGGGAGGCGAGCGGGGATCCGCCGATTCGCTGTTCGCCTACCCGGCCCAGTGCAACTTCTCCGGGTTCAAGTACCCGTTGGATTGGGTGGAGCGGGTGCGAGGGAACGCGCTGGACGTGGCGGTCGGGGGTCGAGGGAGGTGGTACGTCCTCCTGGACGCGGCGGCCCTCGTCGCCACGAGTCCCCTGGACCTCGCAGAGACGAAGCCCGACTTCGTCTGCGTCTCGTTCTACAAGATGTTCGGGTATCCCACGGGGATCGGGGCGCTGCTGGTGCGGCGGGGCGCGGAGGAGGCGCTGTGCAAGGAATACTTCGGGGGTGGGACCGTCCTCGTGGCTCTTCCAAGGCAGGGATTCCACGTCCCGAGGCCGGTCCTCCACGACAGGTGAGTGCCCCCCCCCCCCTTTCCCCTTCCGAGTCGAGTATAAATAAATATTCTTTTTTGTTTGTGAATATATGTAGTAGAGGGTGGGCCAAAAAAATCTTCGGTTATCTTTAACGCTTCACAGCGTCGTTTCTCGAGCGTTGAGGAAATATTGTAATAGCGTTTCTATACAAAACATTTACCTAGCTTTCCACTGATGTCAAAAGATTTCAGATTCAATCTGTCATTCCGCTGCAGTTACGCAAACTGTAATAGCGGTAACGCTTGAAAAGTGCACTTACCACAGTAGCGTAGCAAGACACAATTTGGCCCCCCCCTACTACATATATTCACAAACAAAAAAGAATATTTATTTATACTCGACTCGGAAGGGGAAAGGGGGGGGGGGGCACTCACCTGTCGTGGAGGACCGGCCTCGGGACGTGGAATCCCTGCCTTGGAAGAGCCACGAGG